AAAAAAAAAAAAAAAAAAAAAAAATGCATCTCTGAAAATCTGAGAAGTGCCTTCTTCAACAATTCCATGTCCCTGACTGCGACACAGTCACAAGTCTGACTTAGAATTAATTCTCCCAGCAATTATTTGATTAAAGTAAAAACAAATTCAAGTCTAGAGAGTATTTTAAAAAAGCACAAAAAATAGTAATACAAACATAATTTGCAGTTAAACTAAAACAGAGAAATATTTTAAGTGATTTGAACAAAACGCCATTTTGCACACTGGGTAATTATGATAGAGGCAAGTTCAAAACAGCCTCTTATTATGTTGAGTGCTTCAAAGAGCATAAAACAACTCTTAAATGTTTCCATATAAGAAAACCAAAGTTTTTAATGTGAAAAAAAAAAGAAAAACATTACGTGACCAAAGTTGTAATGAGGGGAACACATGGAATGAAGCTGAACTTTGTGACAGAACAACAACATTTTCTCTACTTTGACATTCAGAGAACATTGGTGGGGTTCCCTCACTTGTTGTCAGAGTTTCCTTTTGATTTCTTGTGGTTTGCATAGTCCTCTAAAACCACCTCCACACTCCTCCTGGCAGGCAAATGGAATAACTGGAAGCAACAGAAACATTTTAACGTTATTATTGCTCTCTCCACGCTACCTTTTCCAGGAAAGTGTCTTTTACTGACAGCACAACATGAAATCAGGTTAGCTTAATATCCTTTCTTTCAAATGTAAAAGGTTTTACTTATCAGAACACAATAAAATGAAAAGCCTTGCATTCTTTGGAAGAATACACATCATCAGCAATCATCTTAAAATGAGAAGCGACAGAAATTCATCCGTTTCAGTCAAATCTTGAAAATTTTGTTAGACAACATCTCTTACAATCTATTAGCAACTAGATTAATATCTTGTAAGATTCAATGAATTATAGCAGTTTTGTGTTAGTTAAGGTTGCTTGACTGTGGCGGCCATCTTAAATTGGGTACATAAATCTGTTGTAGAGGTAAAAATTAGTTTTGAAGAGTTTGATTAAAATCAGTCCACTTAATGAGATTTTGCTAACAACATGAAACAAAYGTACACACAGAGACATGGGCAAAAACATTGTGCTTTTGGTAGCAGGCCATAAAAATAATCTGACTGTATAAGATGTTAAAGTGAGGGAAATACAGCTACTACTAAAAGGAACAAGACATATTGTTTGAGTAGTTTATACAACTACTGTTAGCAGCAATAACTTGGGATAAAGTTTCCTGTACTGTCAAAAACTTTACAATTTAACCTGTTAACTAAGACCTGAAGAGTCTGAGACTGAGCTATTGGGTTTTGAGTAATTTGTACCACTTGAAAAATCTTCCAGAGCAGAATGATGGTCCTGTTTCTCAAACATTTTGATTTGAAAGAGAACAGGTGTTTAAAGGATGTCTGCATCCTCAGAGGACTCTAACAAGGTAGAGTCAGGTTCTTTTTGAAACGTTTTGTCTCTTCTCCTCGGACTTCTTCAGTCTGAGTTGTTGCAGGTAAACTCAGCCTTATAAGCCGTACCGCTGCACAGTGTCTCAACTTCAGTGTTTGAGAAGCATCAGTACATCCCTAGAAGAACTTCAGTTTATGTGCACACTCTACACAACAGCCCAGGGGCCTCATGTTCAAAGACACCTCCACTGTCACAACTATGTTTAAATATGTTAAATAGATGAAAATTATGTCCAGCGTGTGCAATCAGAGAGGATTTCTAAAGGCAGAAAAATAATTAAATCTAATGTGAGTTTGAAAAATTTTTAAATAGTGGGGAGTAAAAAATATGTTGTCACCATGCAAAGGAGGCTTTGTCGGCAATGAAACCTGATACATCTGAAGTTTTGCATSAAAGGGGGCACATATAAGCTTTTTGAGCATATAGACAGTTGATACATGAGGCCCCAGGTGAAAAACTGGAATGAAGCTGTTATATTCTTGTGTTTGTCTTATTCAAATCCAAATGTCTGTGATAGAAAAAGGTTTTAATGTGGAAACTGACATAACTTCTCTTCAGATTGAAGAATAATCAAGTATTACAAGTAGAGGAACTGATTACCAGCATCTAGCATCTTATTTGTTAAAGAGTAAAGGTAGACTTGTTTTTTTTTTTTTGTGATGAAATAATTGCACTGTGTATTTTGTCCTACTACTGTTCATTACTCAACTGATTTTATGATTTGCCAATAACCAGACTATTTATCTATGTCAGACCTATAATTAGAGATGTTAGAAGGTGTCCCTAATCAGAACAAGGACTGTGGAGAGGTTCAATCAAATGTTATTATCCTGCATCATTTTGGGTAGTCTCTGATTAAATTTGTGGCCTAATTTTTAAAAAGCATGAGAGTAATAAATTGGCACTTACAGAGGAACAGGTTTTTGCAGGTCCTGACATTTCATTTGATAATTGACAAAAAATATATATATTTTTTATCTGATAATAATTCCATCTACCTCAACTAAACCCCAGGTCCAGCAGAAAAAAGCAATCCCACAGCATAGTGCTGCCATCACCGTGTTTCATTCTGGGTATAGTGTTTTTGGGTTTTATGGTAGTAGATCTTAATCCTGCACCAGATCTTTCTGAATTGTGATGAAAAAGTGAAACTTCAGATTTAATGAAATCACAACATTTTCCCTCAAATATTTTGGGAGACTTGATATTTTGTGATATTTAGCTAGGCCCCCACAGTCTCAGTCCTCGGACTCATTTCCTTTCAWCAATGAGAACTCTGATGCTTTGTGAGCTGCTCTCTGTGAATCTCAGCGTTTGCTGCGGGACGCACCTGAGTAAATGTCAGGAAAATCCTGCTGGGCCAACTGAATCTTATTTCAATTTGATTAAAGTCATTTTAATTAACGGCAGGTGTGCTCCCAAAAAGAAAGAAGGATGTAATTAAATCAAAAASATGCTTTGTATTAGTTTCAGGGTGYGTGCACTGATACAACCAGCTCATTGCATCTTTTTAATCTTTTTTGTTTGTTTTTCACCACACCGGGTTTTATTTTATGTCCCAGTAAATGTGGGAAAAGTTTTGAAGTGTTTTCATTTTAACAGTGGTGTTACGTTCACTAGCTGTGTTTCCATTGACCATGAAAATGCGCAAATTAGAATTTGGAAAATAAATTTGCTCAATGGAAACACGTCAATTTCGAAAAAAATTACGTTTTACGACAAAATGGTTTTGCGCCAGGATGAGGTGGTATTTCRGCCGTATCGAAATTGGTGTTTTTCRCAAAACTGCAATGGAAACACGTTTTTCGCATCACGGGAGTCACGTGATCAAAAACCGGCTGTTTCTACTGGCGAAAAAAACGACGACGAAGAAGATAACAGGAAGTAGAAATAGTAGTAATATCACAGAAGTAGTATAAAATAGTAAACTCACAGACTACAATTTCCCAAAAACACTGCATACGTAGCGGCTCCCAAGTAGGGGCTTGTCGCTGGAAAGCCTCAATAAAAGACGCCGTCTCCTCTGATGATGAGCACTAGTGTTGCGGTAGCAACATGCTATGTGTTTACATCCATCGCCGCCATGTTTGTAATGACTTATCACGAGAACAAACGTATTCACGCGTGACTTTAATAGCATTTCTTACTTAATGGAAACACTGCAGTTGCGAAACTGTGCTTTTTCGACATTAAAAGAATATCGACWAAGTTTTGCGCACATTTGCAATGGAAACGCAGCTACTGTAGCTGTAACAGATTTTTGTTCAATGTCGAGATGTTTTCCCTTCACAAGTAATCACAGCTGTGGTGCAATAAATAAAACTTGTGTTATATTGTACACCTGTTTCTGCCGTGTGATGAGGTCCCAGTCATCCACCAGCCAGGGTTTCAGCTCCTCTGGGATTTTYACCTTCACCTCCACACGGTTGGTGAACATCTCCTCCTGCACAAACACAAAGTATCAGACAGGTATGACAGCTGCTTAAAAGAAACCTCTCTACTTTTACTCGTTGACCAAATTTAAAGCAGACCGAGCTAATTAGCAGGAAGTGCTGACACCTACACTCTCCACAGTGGGATCGACYCGAGCCCGCTTCTTCCGTGGTGCCTGTGGAGTTTCTCCACTGCTGGTTCCTTCACTCGGCCCTGGGGCTGAACCACAAACTCATGAGAGAAAACAAATAATGTAGAGCTGAAGGTACTGGCAAAATGAAGTCATGTTAAAAAGAAAACACCAGCATATAAAGTCTGCTGCATTTCAGACTGTTATTTTCTGCTCTTAATGTTTATTTTTCTGATTTACTACACCTTCAAATTAAATAACAATGGGCCACTTTAAAATGCAGACGTGGAAAAAATTGTTGATAACCCTCTGTTAATGACCAAAGAACTCACAATGATCACTAAAGTAACTGGAACTGAAAAAAGTAAAAAGAAATAAAAAATTTCAGCTCATAGAAGGTCACTTCAGATTAGTCCAATGTTTTCCTCTTAGCCATTCTTGTGTGTTTTTAGCTGTTTTTTGTCATTATCTTGTCGCAAGACCCATGAGCTGCGACTGAGACCAAGCTTTCTGACACTGGGCAGCACATTTCTCTCTAGAATCCCTTGATAGTCTTGAGATTTTATTGTACCCTGAAGCTGAGAAGCCTCAGCCTCTTCCATGTTTCACAGTAGGGACGGGTATGTTCCTGCTAGGTTTAATTTTTGGGTCTGTGGTAGGGTTGGGCAATATTGGCAAAAAAATTAATCACGATTAATGTGTTGTATTTAGCCGATAACGATTAATTTGAAGATTAATCCCCCAGAGTCCCTGGACACCCTTGTATCCTAGTCACATGACCAATTTATAGGGAGAAAATTGGCTCTTCGTAAAAATCTGTTCCAAATTGTGTCAAAATTACAGACTTCAGGCTATACATCAAATTTTAAATTGTGTTGATAGATAAATAAATTACAGAACTTTTTTTTAATGTTCATCACGTTTGAAGGGGAGAGGAGCATCAATCGGACTCTGCCTGGTGGCATTAATCGTCAAGTGCCAAAAATTAATCGATTAATGTTTTTCTGACGATTAATTGCACACGATACGATTATGCCCAACCCTAGTCTGTGGACATCRTTGATGTAACTTGTTGCCAAAAAGCTCCAGTTTTGTCTCATCTGTCCAAAGGACCTTYTCCCAGCAGCTTTGTGGCTTGTCAAAATGCACTGTGGCAAATTCCAGTTCCACTTTTTTAGTTTTATGTCCTCTTGGGATTATTTATTCAATTAGTCGACTAATCAGATCAT